TCTATGGGTTTGCCAGTGTGTCTGTGAGTGTTTGGGTCATTATGTGAATGCATGTGTCTGTGTGTGAATGTGAGTTTTTGAGGGTAGGTGTGTGCATGTTTATTGGGCACTTTAGTGGTCTATAGCTAGGTAGGAAGAGACCAGGTGGGAGTCTAGCTCTGCCTCCCTTGGGAACACGATGGAGGGCTTGGACCCTCCTCAGCGCTGGAGCAAATGGATCTCGGGAGGGCTCTCCTCACCTGCTTTCCTCCTAGGGCTGGCTGGACCCTTCTGTGGCTGAAGCTTTGATAGAGGGTCTGAGGCACTGGGAGTGGGTTGCCAGACAGTGGTAAGGCGGCCTCCTTGTTAATCACAAGCGGTCCTGATTTTCCAGAGCTGGTCAGAGGCCCAGCCCAGGGAAGTCCCTGGTGAGGAGGGGCAAGGAGTAGAGAGACCAAGTCACTGTCACAGCAGCTTCTGGGCCAGAGAAGAATGGAGGGAGAAGTGGAGGGACCCTGGAAGAGGGAGTATGAGAAAGGACACGGGGTGAGGCTGTAGGAGGATTGCTCTCTGGGCCCTGTCAGGGCTTCCCAGGATTAGGAAATGCCTGTTTCCCGTGGGGCTGCCTCCCTCAGGGGCTGGGCTTCGTTGCCCACTCCCCACTTCCAGGAGGATGACAAGGAGCAAGCTTGGATCCAAACTTAGATCTGGCTGGACAGCCTGACCTAAAGACAGGGAGGCCAGAGGGACAGGAGGTGCACTAGGGGAAGCCTGGGGCTCCCGGGAACCGTGGGAGGTGCCTGGCCACATATGCTCTGAGGCCGGGAATTTCCCCCAGAGTCACTTGGCTCTTTCCTCTTCACCAGTGGCGTCCTAGAAACACTAGTGAAGCTGGCAGGCCCAGGGCAGCAGCGGAAACAGCTGGGAGGGAGAAGAGGCAAACAGGAAAGACCCTGGAGAAAAAATCGGGAGAAATGCCTCCTAGGCCTGGTTCTTCTGAGAACACTTTGGGAGGTCTAGGGCAAGTTCCTCCATAGCTCTGGGCCCTGGGCTTTGCTGCCTTTAACTCATTCCAGGCCCTGTGGCACGTCATTCTTCCTCTCCACTCAGCATTGGACTCTGCCCCTCGAGTTACTGGTGAGGAAACAGGCAGAGAGGGAATATAAGATGTAAGGGCAGGGCTGTGGCCTGAACCCAGATCTCTATGACTCCAGAGCCCATACCTTAACCCTTACATGGCATGCATGCTCTTAAGGAGGGACAAATTTGTGAGTATGATATGGTTTAATTTACCTTAAAGTGCCTAATGGACATGAAAACTTATAGCTCAGAGCCGGCGGTCCATCCCTCATGCAGTGATTGGGGAGGCAGAGAGAATTAAAAATGCTTCTGAGGCCAGGGGTGGGAAACAGGGACCATACATAGGTTCTGCTCACTTATTTATTTCTTATCGAAAAATATGATTACCTACTACAATTTCAGTCAACATCATGTGCTTGACATGCATTTCTCATTTAACTATCACTAAAATCTCTCTCTCGTGTGCACACATAATATCGAAAAGCACCTAGAATCCACCATGGGTTTTATATTCCCCAGACTGCCTCAGGCTATGGAGATGGGAGACTGGATGGAAGGAAGGGACCCAGAGCTGGGATCTCTCTTTTCCTAATTCATTAGCTGCTCACCTTGAGTTTCATTCACCTTTAGCCAAGACCCTAACTCACAAATTCACCTAATAGAGTGAGGCTGAGCTTGTTGGCTTTAGAAGCTCCACTTCCCATCAGTGGGGTGTGTGGAGATAGCAATGCTCTAGGAGCAGGAGCTATGGGCTCTAGCCCTCAATACTAATCACAAACTCACTGTAAGACCTCCTGCAAGTCCCTACCCCTCTCTGGCCCTCGATGGCTTTATCCCTATGAGAGAAGGGCTGGGTCTGATCATTTCTAAACAAGGCTTTAAGGACAAGCATTTTGAGCTCTGTCTCACTGGCTGGCAAGACTGCATAAGCATCAGGCTTAAGAGGGGAAAGAATTTAGGACTTGTTGCTATATAAGACCTTGGGCAAGTCATCTAACACCTCAAAGCCCCAATTTCATCTGTGAAATGGGGATGACAGTGTTAATGACCTCAGGGTGGTTGGGAGATACCGTGTTATGTCAAAGTGCTGACCTAGCATACGGCAAATGCTCTGTAAATGTTACCTCTTAATGTTTTTAATATGCTGCCTCCATGCCTTTTTAGGCACTTGATTTAAAGTTCAGTCAGTTACAGGTGAATTTTTGGTATGTTTTCTATTTCCTCCAAATGTGGACGTAGGTCTATCTTTGGAGCATCTTTAGTGGAGGTGGCGCCGAGGGAGGGAGTGGCGGAAAGGAGATAGGGAAGTTGCATGGTTTAAAACTAAAACAAAATAAAACAAAACATAGGCCTTTGATTCTCCTCCCAGGTGGGGCTTTATGCAGGTGCTTGTTGTCACTCTGGAAGAGCAAGAAGTTTCCAGCTGCCTGAGTCACTCAGCTCCTGGCTTGGACATCTTCTTCCAGATGCAGGGGTGGCAGGGGGTACCAGTCTAGGTGGCCTATTTCCCACCCTTTCAGGGTCTAGGGGCCTATAGAGGATGTGAATGGTGACATGGAACTTAGGGAGGGGGGCATTCCTGGGTTTACCAGTGAAGTTCTGTCAGGGGCCTGCGATCCATGTCTATACACCACTCTCATTTCTCGAACGCCTACTGTGTGCCAAGCTTTGGGTTTTACTTGCATTATCTCATTTATCCCCATGATCAGGGGTAAGATACAATTTTCTCCATTTTTCAGGGAGGAACTGAGGCTTAGGGAGACCACCCAGGTAGCAAGTGGTTGAGTAGGGGTTAGAACCCAATTAGTTAAATCCATAGCCTGTGTTCATAACGAGCATTGAGTTTCTGTAGGAAAAATCATGACACTGGAAAGACAACATGGTGCAGTGGAAAGAGCACATATGCCTGGAAACCAAGGTCCTGGGTTCCAAACGTGGTGGCATCACTCAATGTGTGTAGCCCTGAAGGAATCGTTTACTATATTTAGGCCTCAGTTTACCTATATGTCAAAGAGGGGATTAAGAACAATGGTCTGTCTCCATGGCTTCTAACATGCCAGGAAGTTCTGAATTCAAACTAAGACTTGAAAGGATAGAGGGGTGGGTGTGGTCATGACTTTGAAGAGCTAAGTTTCCTCATATGTTAAGAAGAATTATCCCAAAATAGGGAATCAGGCAAAAAAAAAAAAAAAAAAAAAAAAAAAGACGACTATGTGACCTTTTCATGTCATACCAGAGCACTGTCCAACAAGACCATCCAGGGGTCATCAGGGATGTTAAGGGGTGAAGCTATTTGCCTAACTTTCGAAGGTCAGACGTCTTACAAAAACAGCTGAAATAGTTGGGAAACAAAATGCAAATTGTTGGAGATGCTACATTTTTTAAAAATACATATCGGTGTTCAGGAGAAGACTTTGGTTGAGCTTAGGAAGATAGCATTCCAGAGGAGGCAAATTGGGAACTGCTGACAAAGAGCAGAAAGAAAACCGATTTGGGGAAGCCTAATGGGTGGGAGTGATGCCTGGGAGCTGCCTGTGAACCAGTCCCAGATTCTACTCCTTCCATACCCTCCCCCGTTGGGGACACTCAAAGGGGCTTTGCTTGGTCTTTGCATCCTCCCCCTCCCCCCCCCCACCCTGCCTTTAAAATCAGAGTATATGAGTACTTCTTTTCATAATTAAAACGAACCAGAATTAATATTGTTTCGAGAATTTGGTAACACTTTTGAAGTAACTCAAGGAATCCCAGAATTTGAGGACACCTTTGAAGCAACTGAAGTCGCAAAGTCTGAGGAGAATCCTGGGGTTAGATTTTAACCTGGGTAGCAGTGAATGTGTGACTTTTCAGTCATAATTGATTGTTAGATCTCTCCAAAAATGAGGGCCTGGAGGAATGAGCTCTCAGAATCTATTCTGAGCATGAGGACCTGTCAATGATTAAGGTTTTATCAGCTCTGGGGAAGTGAGTCTTTGGCAATAGGTTTTTCATAAAGCTCTATTTACCCCCATTTAAAGAGCTGTCCCTTATCTCCAGTACAGGTCCTTCTACTTTTCGAAATTAAAACTCTCTTTAAAAAAAAAAAAAAAATGACGGGCTTAAAAAGAGACCAGAGAAAGCGTTCCTCACGGTTAAACCAAGCTGCTCCTTAAGGGTCTGGGAAATCCCACAACTCTTCGGATGATCTGGCTCACAAATATGCAGACAGGGTGGGAGGCCGGCTCTGGATCTGCCCACTTGGGGGTTTGAATCTTGGTTCTGACACTTACTGTCCACTAACCTCTCGTGCCTGTTAGATTTATTTACGGTAAACAAGGGGACAAACCCCATTTCACTAGGATGGCCCAGTGAAAGAAATAATGTAATGCCTGCAAAATGCTTGCAGGGTCTGGGGGGCAGTAAGTATGCACAAAAAGTTCTTTAGGGAGGGGATCCCTGGGTGGCCCAGCGGTTTAGCGCCTGCCTTTGACCCCAGGATCGAGTCCAGCGTCGGGCTCCCTGCAGGGAGCCTGCTTCTCCCTCTGCCTGTGTGTCTGCCTCTCTCTGCTATCATGAATAAATAAATAAATAAATAAATAAATAAATAAATCTTAAAAAAAAAAAAAAGTTCTTTAGGGAGTCCCTGCAGCACGAATTTCTGGGAGCTGTGCGGAGTTGTCCGGGAGTGCCCTGAGCTCGCGCTCTGGCTCAGCTCCAGACGTTTACGTGCCCAGGGCAAGTCTCCCCGGGCCGCGAGGCAGGGATGGGGTGGTCTCCGCGGCTCGCCCCGGAGGCCGCGGGGGGGCGGGGGGGCGGGGGGGGGGGGCTCGGGGCCGGCCGGCCTCCGGGCTGCGGCTGTTTACCTCGCGGCGGCCCACCCCCGCGGCCGGCCCGCCCCGAGGGCGCAGCGCCATTGGCCGGCCGGCCTGCCAATCGCCGGGGACTTTCCCAGGGGTAGGGCGGCCCTGCCCCCGGCACTTCCTCGTCCCGGCGCGCTCCCCCGCCCCGGCCCCGAGTCCGCCGAGCGCTGGAGGGCCAGGCCTGGACCGGGGCTGGGCGCGGAGAGCGGGGCGGCGTGTGCCCGGGCCCCACGCGCAGGTACGCGGGCGGCCGGGGCGGGGCGGGCGGGCCAGGCGGGCGGCAGGCGCCCTGCGCGGGGGCCGGCGCTGCTCGGCTCCGCGGCCCCGGCGGCGGCGGCGGCGGCGGCGGCGGGTCCCTGCCCCGCGCGGAGGGAGGGCGGCGGCGCGCCTGCGCACTGCGGGAGGGCCGGGGGCGGGGGGGGCGGGGGGGCGGGCCGGCGCGGCGGTGTCCAGAGGGTGCGGGACCCCTCGGGAGCAGGGTGCGCATGGGGTGAAGGGGAAAATCATAAGGTATTGGCCGCTTTCCAAGTGCGGATCTAAACTCTGCGTGTGTTAAAGTCTTGTAGTGGTGACATCTTTCTTTAAATGAGTATTATCATCATCCCCATTTTACAGTTGAGGAAACCGAGGCGCTTGGAGATTGGGGGTCACACGGCTAGGGAGTTGCAAAGTCGGGATTCGAACCCCGGCATTTGGCTCTAGAGTTCCAGCTATACGGTTTCTCTTCAACATACGGTTGGAGGCAGCATTTGTGTGCAGTGAACTTCTGGGAGTGATTTGGGGTGTGATGTTTCTATATATGGGTGAATCTTCCACTGTAGAACGTGTGTGTGTGTGTGATGGTGCATTTGGAAGTGATCCCATTATACCTTCATTAATTGTGTGAGAGATTGTGTTTTGATTGGGGGTGGTTTGTGGATGATGCTGAGGAATCAGCAACATCCTTCCCCCCCCCCCCCCTTGCAGAATGACGGTACAGAGAAATCTGTGGATTCCTAATGCATCATTTTAACTTCACAGTATCACCAAAGTAGAATTTAATCAGCACGTATTTTCCAAGCAGTAGGGTATGATAGAGGGGAATTCAGCATCTGTTGAGAGGTCAGAAAAGATGACTCTCAATTTTTTTTTCTTTACTCCTAATCATGGATACTGTATTAGGAGGCTGGAATATTGATTAGTACAAAGGCATAAGAATCTTGTGTTGTTGTATTAATATCTTTATTTTACAGCAGACAGAACTGAGACAGTGAAAAACCAAGAGCAGTAATGACAGCGTACACTTAATGAACACTTACCTGTGCTAGGCACAGTGCTTTACATTCAGTATCTCATTTAATCTTTAAACAACCCTAGGAGATAGTCACTAACAGTAGCCTCAATTCTCAAATGAGGAAATTGAGGCCCACAAAGATTAAGACTTGGCCAAGATCAGTAAGCCTTGAATAGCATAGCCCTGTTCCCTTTCCACTGACCACGATTTCTGTCCTCTCTGTGTCCTGGGAAAATAATGTAATCAGGAACTGGCACTTCATGGAAGCACTTGATCATATCCCCCTGGGAGCTACAGTTGTGAGTGTTCTGTATTCCTTATACTTCTGTGATCCTGTTTTCCCCCACCCAAGGGGGTCCTGGGTATGGTGAGGCTCTCATGCTGAAGGGTGGTAGCTGCCCCTATGCCCACAGCAGGTCTTTTGGGGCCCCAGGAAGCTGTGGGGTCTGACTCATACCCTTACCCCTAATGCTGCCTATGAGTTGGGGCCCGGATGTCCTGGGGTGAGTCGGGCCGACCTGATTTGAGCACCTCACAATTGTAGGAGGTTGTCTGTCTGTCTCTCTGAATACTACTGGGTACTGTTTCTGCTTGCACTGCAGTTTAGCCACGGCAGCCTGCTTTTGTTTTTTTTTTTTTTTGTTTGTTTTTGTTTTTTCTTTCCAATGTGCCAAGCTTGTTCTTGACTTGAGGCCTTTGTATGTGCTGTTCCTCCTGCCTGGAACACCTTTCCCATTTTTTTTTTTTTTTTTTTTTACATGGCTGGTTCTTCCTGAACTGTTAAGTCTCAGCTCAAATGTCACCTCCTTTGAGGGGCCTTCCCTGACCTTTCTATGCAAAGTGGCCCCTTTTTTCACTTTCTGTCATATTACTATTATGTTTTTATACACTCATCATGCTCTGAAATAATCGTGTTTATTTGCAAATGAGAAAGTATATGTATAGAACTTAGTGCCTAGAATATAATAATGTTTAGTGTTTCCTTGTTTGTTGCCTTTCTCTTTTCCTGGAGTACAAGGGTGAGAGCAGGGACCACTTTGGTGCATGTGCATCCCTGATACAAGATAAGAGTGTTTGAGGTAAAGCTCTGCTGGGTTTGTTCAATGGACGAGTAGCATAGAAGAAACTAGAATAAGGGTGCGTTTCACAGATGAGGGGAACTGGGAAGGTACTTGTCCTAGGAGGTAGTGGCAATGTCAGGTTGAGAACCAGAACTTGCTCCCGAAGGGTTTTTTTTTTTCTTTCTCATAGCCAGCAAATTTTTCCTGATTGCCTTTGTGGCCAGTGCTTGCAGAGGAACATGATGCCAGGTACATAGGAACTATGCACCTGGCTATCTAGGAACTTGTAGTGGAATGGAGAGAAATTGTGCTCTGAATGTGATCTGGAAGGCATTATGTGGGACGCCTGGGTGGCTAAGTGGTTTAGCATCTGCCTTTGGCCCAGGGTGTGATCCTGGAGTCCCAGGATCGAGTCCCACATCAGGCTTCCTGCATGGAGCCTGCTTCTCTCTCTGCCTATGTCTCTGCCTCTCTCTGTGTCTCTCATGAATAAATAAATAAAATCCAAAAAAAAAAATAAATCTTTGATTCATGTGGAGGGCATTATGTGCCTGCAGGTGCCTGGTATAAGTCTCACTGGAGTACAGGACAGTTGGGGGCAGCAGGTAGTCAGGGGGCTTCCTGGTAGAGGGGGTGACTCCAAGGCCAGGCTCTAGAAAGATGGTGAGTGCAGAGTGGAGCCTGAGCACCTTCTGGAACTTAGTAGACTGGATAGAGGATTTGAGGTAAGGCTCTGCTGGGTTGGGGGAGCTGACCAGCTGGACCAGGAAAAACCCTAAGGTCTTTTACTGCCGGGCAGAGAAGTTGTGGTTTCTCCCTGTGTGCAGCATCGGGAAGTGATTAGAGCAGTTGGTTGACAAACAAGCACACATGTGAAGCACCTGAGTGGCTTGTCAAACACGTATATGACTGTGTCCCCAGAGGGGCTCCATCCAGTGGGTGGTGGCCATGCGGCTGCCACCGCCTGTGTGGTGCACTTTGGGAACCTCTGGTGGAGAGCGTGTGCTTCAAAGTTTGGCTCACTTGAGTGGGTGTGGCCCCTCTCCCTCGTCTGTAAGATTCTCTGATGTCATCACTATCTTCTCCAGTGCTGTGAATTAATGAGACAGCACAGGGCTGCTGCTGGCAACCAGTCAGTGCTAGCTGCTGATCTCGTGAGTGATGACAATCCTGAGCATACAAGGGATTTCAGTAGGAGATGGTGGGGACCGTGCGATCTTCCGAGCATTGGGATAACTTGCCTTTAACCCCTCTGCCACCTGTGTCCTCTCTGGATGGATTGTCCTTTGTTCTGTGTCAGATGTCTTTCCATCCATGTTTGGAAAAGCGGACACTTACAAGTGGGAGGGGTGCACCCCAGCAGATGATCATCCAGTCTCGGCTTGACTGCCATCCCCAGGGTCAGGGAGTGCTCTAGCTTGTAGGCAGCGTCTTCCCATGTTATGGATGGTTAGCTTTCATGGGTCCCCCTGGGTGCAGCTTCCTCCTTTCTCACTCCCCTTTTCCCTCATTGCCCACCTGACCACTTGGAGGGAGGGCAGGCGTGGTGCCTTGCAGTAAGAGAGTGCACTGGCAGGAGGCCTAGGTTTGCTTCCCCCTATGTCACTGTCATCCTATGCAGCCTTGGGCAGGCCTTTTTCGTTTGCTGGCTTTGGTGTCCCAGCTGCAGAATGAAGGGATTGCACTGGCTGGGGTCTTAGAATGTTCCCTCTCAGCTCTAAAAACGCTGTTGCCCAGTAACTGGGCTGCCGTTTCTCTGGCTCCATCCAGTCCTGAGCTCTTCCTACTGGGCCAGGCCTTTCTGTGCCCACCCTCCATCCCCACTTCTTCTTGCTCCTGCAACCCTGCCTGCCCACAGTGCCTGCTTCTCTTTTCCCTGCCCCTCTTGGAAGGGAGGGTGGCTGGGGCCCTCTGGAGAGTTGCCAAAAGGGAGACACAGGGATAGCACAAAGAAGCTTCCTTTGTTCAGCGGAGCAGAGCTCCCCAACCTCCAGAGATGGACGTTGGCAGTCACCGTAGCCTGTTAGTTGTGGGAAGTTTTTGATGTTTTTCCCCCATGACTGGCCCAGGACAGTCACTCTTCCAAAAGGAACAGATGACTGGCCTGAGGAGCAGCTGGCTCTTTGTCCCCAGGCAGGGCTGAGCTCTTGTCTCCCCAGGGACCTCACCCTGAAGCTGTTCCCTGTGCCCTTGAATACTTACAGGGTGGACAAACCGGGTGGCCCAGCAGATGTATGGTGTGTGTGTTGCTGAGGGGAGGGTGGGGGTGCTGTGGGAGTTGTGTCACCAAGGAGTCATACTCAGAGGTCAGAGCTGGTATTTTTAGGGCGGGTGTGGGGGGTGTCCCATGAGTCAGGGGCCTTTGGTTTGGTCTCCACCCACACTGGAGAGGGCTTGCTCCACTTTCCACTGTCTGGCAGGCCACCGTCCTGGGCCTTCATCGTGGCCAGCTTTATCAATGGGCTGAGGAACCCTGGTCCCTCCACATCCCCACTTAGGCTTCTGCATGTGTTCTTCCCTCCCCCTGGCCCAGCCCCTGGGAAGAGCAGGAGTCCAAGGACAGCAACACTGACTTTTAGAAAATATGAAGAAATCTTCCAGACATGGAGGGCAACGTGTGCACACCAGGCCCCTACCCAGCCCGGCTTAAGAAGTCACACATTTTCTGTACACCTGAAATTTCTCCTTGATCATTCCCTTTCCCTCCCATCAGGAAGTAGCAAGTGTTCTGAATTTAACATTTATTCTCTTATAAATGTCTCTAGTTTTGTTATAAACATATGAATCCTTACATAATAGGTAGTACTCTTTTGTATGTTTAATAATACTCTTTAAATGCTGTCCTACAACTTTGTATTCGACAACTTCCTTGTGCTCAGTATTATATTTGTGAGATTTGGCCTG